AACTGAATAAGTATAAGGAAGAAGTTCCCGGTAAAATGACAACCACAAATTTTCGAAGAATGAAATTATCTGACAGTTTATCTTTTATTAATAATGTAATCTACAATTCTCTCCATTTCCATCTTTGGGTATTATTTCCTGTCATAGAGAAGTGTGGGTTCTACACGGCCAAAAACGCTGAGCCTGCTGTACTGCTTGTACTGTACTGCCTGTACAAGAGGTTGCAAGAATGTTATGCTGGCCTATTTCAGTTAACAACATTGAACAATATTATTCGTCTTGAATGGGGTGCAACAATATACAAATAATGAATGTTTATGTGTGCAATGGTAAGATTATTTTCATGAGGTGAAAGATGGAATGTTCCATTCAAAGATGGAATGTTCCATCAAAGCTCTCGGACTGTGCGGACGTGTCTTACAGAGCTCTACAAAATGTCTGACTTTTTGATGAAGGTTGTGAAGTGTTTAGACCAAATCAAAGCTCAAGGCCTTTCCAATCTCGAATATGATGGAAAGAAGCTCAAATGGAGAAATGATTTTGCGGAACTAAAAAAAATTATCGAAGATAGTCTTGGTATTAAAGGCAAATGGTCGTCGCCCGGTGGCGGTACTAAAAGATTCAAGGAAGAAAATGGCCAACTTATACTAAATTGGTATTTTAAGAAGCAATGCACCTTGTTATTTCAAGGTACGGAGGCAGACGGCTTAAAGAATAAACTGATAGATCTACTTGCCAAAGAAAAGCCTCAATCTTTCATCGAGCAAGAAGGAAATATATCCGGTAATGGCGGGTTTCCAGACGAAGCCGACAGCATCCTCGCTGTTACTGTGGACAGTGAACAGCAACCATTTACTAGTTTATCATCTACTAGCGAAAACCTAAACGTACCTACCGACAACTGTCCTTGTAGATGTAAATCAATGGCAACCGAAATTGAAGGGATAAAACTGGACATAGTCATCCTACAAAGCCAAATGTCGAGCGAAAGCACAAAGACTAAATGTACGAACGAAGAAATAAGCAAGTTACAAATTGAATTAAAAAACGAACAGCATAAAAATGCTATACTAAAAGATCGAGCAACGAGAGCTGAGGAAGAACGAGATTCGCTTCGTCTTGCGTTAAAACTTCTCATGCAAGACCAATCCGTTGACAATATTAATCCTTCGACTAAGACTAAAGACCAAGAGCAAGGCAATTGCTGGAATACAGTACCGAAGACCAGAAATAGAACAATAAGCAGTAACATCACATCAAATGTAAACGGCAATGCAACTGGCGGAGTAGCTGAATGTACATGGTGCCAAAACAACTTTCTGGTCTTAGATGACCTAAATGAATCCTGCAGAATTATCGACGAGATGCAGATAAAAAAACGAATTGGCAGCGATGGAAGCAACGAGGGCAAAGATAAACCGCCAGCAAGCAAGCGTCAGCAAGCAAGAGTACAAAACAACAAAAATACTGTAGTAGTAGGAGACTCGATTGTCAAAGGTTTGCAGCAACACAAACTTTCGAAAGCAGCAAAGCAGAACGTGGGTGTGAAATGCTTCCCAGGAGCGACTGTTGGTGATATGAGCGATTATATAAAACCCGTGCTACGTCGAAAGCCAGATATCGTTATTCTACATGTGGGAACAAACAACGCCACTAACAAAAAAGCAAGCGAGATAGTTAATGACATCGACAAATTATGCCAAGAGGTCAAAGAAATTGATCCCAACGTTGAAATAATATTGTCTGAATTGACCAACAGAGAGGACAATGCAAAGGCCAAAACAACTGTTCAAGAGGTAAATCGTTTGTTAGCAGATTACTGTACTGCGACTAATTTAAATTTAATTATACATAACAACAATATCCTCAGTAAGTCGCTTAACAGATCCAAATAGCATCTGAATAAGTTAGGATCTTCTACTTTAGCTAAAAACTTTATTAGTTATTTACATAATTTTTAGCCTAGGTAAAGTTCCAACTCTTTACAGCAAAATTTCCGACACCGAACCAAAAGAGCCAAGTTGCTCCATTGAGAAGATTATTCCACAAACAAAGTGTGAAAATAGCATTACATTTTTACAATCTTTGAAAGGATTTAGAGTTGGGCATTTAAACATCGCTTCGTTAGTCAAGCATGTTGATGAATTAAAAATATATTTGGAAAAAGAACCACTGGATGTTTTGAGCATTAACGAAACTCGTTTGGATGAAACAATTAGTACAGATACTGTTAGTATACCCGGTTACGACATGGTTGCCAAAAATCGTAATCGGCAAGGAGGCGGTGTTGCAATTTACCATCGCAGTATTTTGAACGTAATTGATAGAGATGATTTAGTCCCAGACGACGTCGAGGCTGTTTGCCTCGAAATTATTAAGCCTAAATCTAAACCTGTCTTAGTTGCATCTGCATATAGGCCACCGAATTCGCAAATTGAATTCCTTGATAAAATTGAAGTATTATTTCAAAACCTTGACAACGAACATAAAGAACTAATTATCGTGGGCGATTTAAATTGTGATTTTTTATCCAACAATTTAAGCAATCACACTAAACGTTTTAATGATATAGTTAATATATTCCAGCTGACACAGTTGATTGACCAGCCTACACGAATTACCGAAAAAACAGCTTCTCTTTTGGATGTCGCTCTTGTAAACAATCCTGAAAAGATTTCGCACTCAGGAGTATTGCATGTTGGAATAAGTGACCATAGCTTGATCTACGTTTGTAGAAAAATTTCGTTTGTAAAAAATGATCCCAAATTTGTTGAGTCAAGAAATTTTAAAAACTACATACAGCGAGACTTTAACCAAGACTTATACCATGCTTTATCTAATTTAAATTGGGAGATAAATGATCCAAATATGCTTTGGGAGAACTTTCAAACAACATTCAATTATGTTGCTGACATTCATGCTCCACTTCAAAGCCGTAAAGTTATAAACAGAAAGGCACCGTGGCTGACTGATGCAATTAAGAAAAGTATGAATCGCCGAGATTATCTCAAGAAGAAAGCTATTAAGACAAACTCAACTGCATGCCACAATGCTTACAAAAGTCTTCGCAATGAGATTAACAAAAAAATTATGTATGCAAAGCGAGATTATTACACAAACTGTGTTGACAGAAACAGAAATAATACAAAGCAAATGTGGAAACATATTAATCAGTTAGTTAATAAAAATTCTAGATCAACAAATATATCAGTACTACAAATAGACGAACAGGTTATTACTGAAAATGAAACTATAGCTGATTTGTTCAATGAATATTTTACTGATATAGGACCAAATCTGTCGAACCAGATCACGGAAACTAACACTGATTTTAAACGTTATATGCAATTTAAAACTCAACATAAGTTCAATTTCGAAAACATTAATATCAATGAAGTGTTAAATGCACTGGAGAAATTAAAGACGTCTAAGTCAACTGGACATGATAATATCCCAGCAAAACTTTTGAAAGATGCGAGTGATGCCGTGGCGCCTTTTTTAGTATTTATTTTTAATACTTCACTCAAACATGGAATTTTCCCTGATGATCTTAAGACTGCAAGAATTTCTCCAATTCATAAACCTGGTGACAAAAAAAATCGAGGCAATTATAGACCGATTTCCATTCTTTCGATTATTGCTAAGTTATTTGAGAAACTTGTCTGTACACAGCTCAATTCCTTTTTAACTGAAAATAATATTCTGAGTTCGTGTCAGTCTGGTTTCCGTAAAAATTATTCCACCGCATCAGCCCTTTTAGCAAATATGGATTCATGGTTACTTAACATGGATGCTGGGATGGTAAACGGAGTACTTTTTCTGGACTTATGTAAAGCATTTGATACGGTTGATCATGTAAATTATCTATCTATGGAATCCAAAATAAGGCCTTAGATTGGTTTAAATCTTATTTGCATAACAGAACGCAAAACTGCAGGGTGAACAGTGCAACATCGTCCACCAGAAAAATACGTTGTGGGGTTCCCCAGGGATCGAACCTTGGTCCCCTTTTGTTTTTATTATACGTCAATGACCTGCCAAATTGCTTGGATAAATCCTGTCCGGCAATGTATGCAGATGATACAAATCTTACAGTATGTTCAGATAGCATTAATAATTTGGAGGAAGCACTAAATTCTGAAATGAAAAATATTCACCAGTGGCTTCTTTCAAACAAGCTAACTTTAAACATTGAAAAAACAGAATACATGATCATTGGAACCCGTCAAAGACTAGCTAAATTCAAAAAAATACTAGCGTATCATGCGGGGAGAAACTATTGAAACAGGTTTATTCCAAAAAGATTTTAGGTGTACTGATTGATGACAATCTATGTTGGAATGAGCAAATCGACAACATCAGTAAAAAGGTATCGAAGGGCATTGGTATGCTGCGCCGTGCAAAGCCATTTGTCTCTCTTGAAACTCTTAAATATATTTATCAGGCTTTAGTGCAACCGAGATTTGATTACTGCTCCATGGTTTGGGGAAACTGTGGCGAAGGTTCAAAAGAAAAGCTACAGAGACTACAAAACCGTGCAGCTAGAGTAATCACAGGTGATACCTATGAAATTCGCTCCACGGATATTTTAAAGAAATTAAATTGGAGAACACTCGAAGAGAGAAGAAAAGAGCAAAAATTAGCATATGTGACCAAAGCCCTTTCAAACCAATGTCCTGAAAACGTTTCAACTATGTTTAAAATCTCAAATTCTGATAAATATAATTTAAGAAGTAATAACAAGATGCTGATGTTGTCGAAGCCTAAAACAAATTCAATGAAAAGGACATTCGGATATGCTGCTGCTAAAGACTGGAACTATAATAGTAAAAATTTTAAATCTACTTAATTCATTTGTAATATATATATTTAACGTATCGCTTCGACCCAAACATTTCTTAGTATCTTTTAATATTTTTATAATAGTTTATATAATAGTATTTCGAGTTTTAATTTGTATTTAATAACACGACCTAATGAAAAACAGCCTTTATAATTTTTGTAAATACTGATAGGTAATATGGTTGATTAGTTACCGTGTATAAAGATGTTGTAATAATAATAATAATAATAATGAGGCGACAGCCTAGTTGAATGGAACATTTCATCTTTCACCAAATGAAAATATCTTACCATTGCACTAATAAACATTCATTATTTGCTTTATATAATACCAAAATAGACTAATAGATTCGTATGAGAAGCATTTTGACGGATGCGATTTATCGAAAACACAAAGAGTGCAATGGAATAAAACGTATAGTACAATTGCACTCGCAAAGAGTGGACATTCCAATTGCACTCTTGGGAAATGGAATTTTCTATTCAATATCACATGACCATAAACAACCAAATAAGCGATCAGTTTTGAACAAGGTATTATATAATGCTGAACAATATTGTTAACATATTATCAACATTTTTATCAACATTGCAACCATAAAGGCCTACTCTGGGGCGGTAAATCGCCTTAAATCGCCGCGAGATAATGCGATTTTGGGCGATTTTAGGCGATTTAAGTAAAAACTGGGGCTTTCAAGCACTGCGATTTAATGAGATTTTAGGCGATTTAAGGCGATTTAAGAAAAAAATCTTAAATTTTAGGGATTGCAATTTAGGTGTTTTCAAGGTAATTGAATTTTGTATTTTGCTCTGGTTTCCTCCCACAGGACAAAATTGGCAGGGTCGTGGGGTAGGATAAACACAGTTAGGAAAGTAATATCATATTCTCATTGTTGTAAAGATAAATAGTCTAGACTAACATAAGTAATCCTAATACTTGATGTAATCGGTCACTGAAAAGTCCCAATGGCGAGCGAGTGAGTTGAATAATGTAACGTTTCCACACACATATGCATTGTATGAAGCAAAATACAATTATTAGAACATGTATCACATTTTATATAAAGCTAGGTTAATTACCTCCGCCAGGAGGTTATGTAATCATCTGGGTTTGTATGTGTGTGTGTGTGTGTGTGTATGTGTGTGTGTATGTGTGTGTGTTTGTCTGTGAGCACGATAACTCAGGAAATATCAAACATATTCATACGAAATTTTTTGAGTGCATTTCCCATCGGCTAAGGACGAACTGATTAAAATTTGGTTGAATTTGGTTAAAAATTGAACGAGAAATGAACAAAATTTTGTCTTGCTTTTCCCGGTCAATTAAAAAAACTCACTGAATGCGTAATTAGGACGTGTATAATGTATGCACGCAGTACTAAGAAGACAATGAGATGATAAACCTCATTAAGCTTCGGCCTTCATTATCTATTGTCTTAGTTGCATTTCACACGACCGAAATTCAATGTCTAAAACAAGGCTTACGGAGTTACGCATTATTACGTTCAGCAAAGTGCCAGTCCATTCAAATTCTAACAAATTAGATTACTTCAATACAGGGTGTATAAAAAAGAACGCAACCTCGGAATTTCGCAAGAAATCGACATTGTTTTAAAGACAAAAGATTTTAGCTGCGTGGGAATTTAAAATAGCACAACTGTGAAAATTACTGCACGCGCGAGTGCATAAAGCAAAATTTATGCATTTATTTAATGACACTTAATAAGTTTTTATTTTACAAGTACTGTACAGTACAACAACAGTAATATGATCTATTAGCAATTCGATTTCAATTCGCGGGGGCCTAAAATTTTTCATGCTTAAGAATTATAAAGTGGATTTCTTAGGAAATTCCAAGGTTGCGTTTCACTTCCGAGTAACGGGCGGAGGTATGCAGTCTCTGAGTGCCCTCTAGTTATTATTGTATTTAACCTGAATCAAATCATAAATAAAGCTAAATATTCATGAACTTTTCATCCATGTGGGGTCATGTGGTCATTCATATGCATGGCTACATTATATACCACAAATACTGTAAACAGTTAATAGATATACTCTACTTTAATAAGGGGCATGTACGGTACATAATTGCAATATGCCAACCTATACCTGAACTACACATGTCTTAAACTTTAATATTAGTAATTTATGTTGAGTTAGAATTGTAAATATAATATTTGATTTCCAAAAGAACCACAGCTCACAGGGGGTAAATATTTATACAGTAAATAAATAATAAATAATCAGCTATAATCCTATAAATTACTTTGTCACCCTTGTAAGTGAAATTGTCTTGTTTTGTATCTTGTCAACACTTCTTTATTTAGCTTGCATTTTATTTTTAAACTGTTTCAATCTCGTGCTTTCTTCATGCTATACAAATATGTTTTATAAAATGTTTGATATCTATATCACAAGTCCATATTCTAATATTCTATATCCCAGTGCATTCGGAAACTGTCGGCGTAATTCCGTAATGTTTAATTTACATGAAGTATATCGCACTTAAATGGTATAGGAATTCTAAATTATTTTAAAAAATTAATCAAATGGCGCACTACATCGTGGTTTTAGGTCATATTTAAATTTGTTTATTTAAAAAAAACAACAACAAAAATTGTATGGTATGTACGATGTAATCATTGTTTTACTGTTTATTTTATATACAGGTCTGGTAAATTTCATAGATGAGAGTTGCAAAACTTGCAAATCTCGCTCATATAAACCTCACGTATGTTTTTCGTTTGATATAGCCAATATAATTATAACTAGGAGCTAGAGTATAACCGTGTACATGTCGAAGTACAACCATACAATGCAGTGCTCGATCTACATGCATGCATGCAACAGTGCACAAATTGCATCTTATTATGACCTTATTTACTTATTATATAAATCAACAATCATACTCATGCATTGACTCTCATATAGCCACATACTGTTGTTCTAACAGCAATTAGGCTTTGAGAAGCCATGTATATTATAGATTAATTTGTAGCCCAGCCTCCATAGTCCATATAAATTGTAGCCCAGCCACCACACCAATTATGAAATTAACTAGTAACTGAATTTTGTTGCTGATAGTGTATGGGATCTATGGGTCTAATTTTAGATCACAGAATTGCCTAATTATAATTGTAAAGTCTGCATGCATAAAGCAGAAAAAGGCTCTGTCTTTATCAATGACCGGGGCTATTGAGTGACCAAATATTGTCAGCCTAATCCACGTATTTGATTTATCCATGTTACATTACTTTTGATTGCAAAACACCCGGATAATTTACATGATTTGCCAGCAAAATAGCAGCAATTGATGACCTTGAGTGCATAGACTGAATGTATCAATCATAATGCATGTTGGCGAGTTAATGC